GGAAGGAAGGAAGGAAGGAAGGAAGGAAGGAAGGAAGGAAGGAAGGAAGGAAGGAAGGAAGGAAGGAAGGAAGGAAGGAAGGGAAAGAGGAGAAAGAAAGAAAGAGGAGAAAGAAAGAAAGAGGAGAAAGAGAGAGGCAGGAAAGAGAGAAAGAAGGAAGGAAGCAAGCAAGCTGGGCATGGTGGTACATGACTGTAACCCCAGCACCCAGGGAGGCAGAGGCAGGCAGATTTCTGTAAGTTCAAGCCCAGCCTGGTCTATGGAGTGAGTTCCAGGACAGTCAAGGCTACATAGAGATGAATTGCTAGCTGATACCCTCCAAGGGTAGCACAGAGCGCCGCCTCAGCTCTGCAGCCTCAGCTCTGCTGCCTCACCTCTGCTGCCTCACCTCTGCCGCCTCAGCTCTGCCGCCTCACCTCACCTCTGCAGCCTCAGCTCTGCCGCCTCACCTCTGCAGCCTCAGCTCTGCCGCCTCACCTCTGCCGCCTCAGCTCTGCCACCTCAGCTCTGCCGCCTCACCTCTGCAGCCTCAGCTCTGCCGCCTCAGCTCTGCAGCCTCACCTCTGCCGTCTCTCCCTAGGACTTCCTGATCATGTTTGTGCATCACTTGGCCACCATTGCACTTATCACTTTCTCCTACATCAACAACATGGTTCGAGTGGGAACCCTGGTCATGTGTCTGCACGACGCCTCAGACTTCCTGCTGGAGGTAAGAACCCATCACGATGCTGCATTGTTCCCTCTCCCCTCCTTGACATGTGAGAGCTTTCTCCCCAACTCAATTTCTATCTTTCATCCAGGCTGCCAAGCTGGCCAATTATGCCAAATACCAGCGGCTCTGTGACACCTTGTTTGTGGCCTTCAGTGCAGTTTTCATGGTGACTCGTCTTGGGGTCTATCCATTGTGGTAAGTCTCCAGGCTGTGACCTGTGGTAGGCAGCTAGTAAGACCTTTTTGCCAATTCAGTTTTCTCCTCTCCTCTTACAGTCTAACACTAAGAACCCACCGCAATGCCTTTCCCCTGACCTAGGCTGACCTTGTGGCCTCCTAGGGCCTTAGTGGCCTTGTATAGCATTTCTAGTGAGCCAGAGTGTGCACACCATTCACTTCTGGCCTTGCTTGCTCACCGATGCTAGCAGTCTCGAGTCTAGACTTAAGTCACTTATCGCTCTTGTGCCCTCTTCCTCATCCTGACCAGCACAGACATGTACCCACATTTCCCTTCTACACTCATCCCCTAGACTACACAGTCACTGACTGTGGCAGACTTTGCTTAGTCTCAGTGAATCAGCCGCTCACTGTTCTGTGCCTTAGAATCAAATCATCCCTGAGCAGCAGGCCTACTGCTGTCCCGATGTTGTGATGCTCCTGTGTGAAGTGACTAACAGTCAGGTAGCCCATTACTTCCTCAGATTCCAGCTTGTCTCAGCAGGTAAACACCTTAGGCTCCTGTCTCTCCTCTTTTATTCCCTGTGAAATATCCCCATTGTTGTGACTAACGTGAAGTGTGCAGAAGAGGCACAGAAGGTCTGTGTCCTGGGCACTCAGTTTCTTCCCTTTCTGCCTAGTTGTACTGTAGAGTCTGACGCTTGTCTCCTCCTTCTAGGATTCTGAACACAACCCTCTTTGAGAGTTGGGAAATGATTGGGCCCTATCCCTCCTGGTGGCTCTTCAATGGCCTTCTCCTGATCCTGCAGGTTCTGCATGTCATCTGGTCTTACCTAATTGCACGAGTTGCTTTTAAAGCCTTGATCCGGGGAAAGGTAAGGGTGAAGCATCCTCCTGTTTGGACCATAGGAACATGGTCTTAGTCTACAGACCTCTGTCCAGCCTGGGGAGCCTCCGCTATACAAATAGGCCATGGTAAGGCTAGGGGTGTGGCTCAGCACTAGAGTGCTGCATGAAGCCCTGCCTTGGACCCCAGTACCACATAAACTCGCATGGTGGCATATGTGTGCCTGTAATCCTTGAGCTAGGGAGGTGAAGCAGGGAAATCAGAGGTCCAGGTCATCCTATGCTACATAGTAAGTTTGAGGCCAACCTGGAATCTCAAAAGTAAACAAAACAAAACAAAACAAAACAAAAAAAAAAAAAAAAAAAAAAAAAAAAGGAAGGGTGACTATTGATGTAGAGCTGAGGGTACAGACCAGAAGCCAGAGGGTTGGGCTGTCCAGGAATGCTGTAGTAGTTCCCTAGCTGATCTGAAGTGACCTTGCTGTGATACACATGGCTGGTTCCTATTGGGAACTAAGCATCTGCCTCACTCACTGTTTGAAGTCCAAGTCTTCAGTGAGCACTGATGTGTTCTGTATTTTAGTGCAAAAATCACAAAGAAAGATACCCATGCCTTTTAAGACAGTGTTGGAAGCTGAGCCCAGGGCCTCATGCATGCAGAACAAGCATCCTATCCCTCAGCTAATTTCAGCCCTAAATTCGGCCATGTAATAATAGAAGATAATTGAAAACTGCAAGTTCTAAAGCAGTCACACTGTGTCAAGCCAGAAAGCTGTCAGTTGTGCAGAACCCCAAGTACGAGGGATGTTAGTTCCAGACTGCACAGGTGGAATGTGGCCTGAGCAGTTATCTCTTACTGTTCTTGATGGCAGTAATTGGTTTCAGGGCTTGTGTGGGTGCCTGTGTGTCTTGTAGCTACTGGACATCTGTCTTCTCCCTGCCTTTCTTTCCTGACTAGGTGACCTACCCAAGAAGGATTAGACACAGACTCTGTACCTTCTGCTCTTTTTCCACCTCCTTCCTCTTTTCTATGCCTGGTGGGAGCTGGACAGTTTCATCCTTTGCATGTAAGTGCATCTGTGCTTCTAGTACTGAGAAGCAGCTGTCTGGGTTCTCCTTCCTGCTGTCCTTCCTCGTCCCATCTGTCTCAGAGCATGCACACTTGCCTAACCTATGTGGCTGCTGTTGACTGGAGCTGATGTTACCAGATTCCTCCCCTAAATTAAGACAAGACAGATCTAGTCTTTCATGTGGTTTGCCTTGCAGCCTCTCCTCCCTCCCTCTGGAGACATTCTGCCTCTGGTGGAAATGCCCTAGACATCAGGTCCTCACACTTCTGAGTAGAGTCAACAGCTCCAGTCTCTGCAGAGCCACAGAGCTCATCGAAAGCAAATACCCATTCATCCATCCTTCCTTTCTTTCTTTCCTTTCCTTCCTTCCTTTCCTTCCTTCCCTTTCCTTCCTTCCTTCCTTCCTTCCTTCCTTCCTTCCTTCCTTCCTTCCTTCCTTCCTTCCTTCCTTCCTTCCTTCCTTCCTAACTACAGCTGAAGCCATGTCCCTTCACCACCAATGCTTTTTAAATGACATGCATCTGTCACTCTATGCTGCAGGCTGGGTCATTATCCTAACACATGTGTCACTGGGTTTTCTCTTTTCTTTTTATAGCCCAGTATATAGAATTTGGAACCGTTTGATGTGCAGGGTGGTGACTCATTGAAAAACACCATCCTAATGCAAACCTTTCATTTGAAAATACAAAACAAGGGGCTGGAGAGATGGTTCAGTGGTTAAGAGCACTGTCTGCCCTTCCAGAGGTCCTGAGTTCAATTCCCAGCAACCACATGGTGGCTATAACCATCTATAGTGAGATCTGCTGCCCTCTGTTGGTGTGCAGGTGTACATGAAGATAGCGTACTCACATACATAAAATAAATAAATCTAAGAAAGAAAGAAAGGAAAGAGAGAAAGGAAGAAAGAAAAAGAGAAAGAAAAGCCACAGGGTCCTCGGTAGGATGAGGAAGGCTCTCCACGCTGACTGCCCACCCGTTCCTGACTATGGTGTCCTGGGATGCCAGAACTTCATGTTGAGCCCAGTAATAGCAGAACTCAGGATAATCAGGGTGAAGAGCTTCAGTTCTCGCAGTCACCAGCATATACAACCATGGTGGCGGCCATGTGCATTGCTTGCGTCAGGCCTCCCTTTTGTTTGTTGTGGCAGAGGGAAAAGGGGCTGGGGTTTTCCTAAACATGGACTCAGTGAGTTGTGTTTTCTTAGGCTGTTCCTAATGAATACACCCTTACTAAAGAGCTTTTCTGGCATAGAATGACATAGATGAAAGGAAAACAGAAAGCAGGCAGAATGTGTTCATGGTCACAGCCAGTGGTCCAGGTAACATCCTGGCTCAGCTGTCACCTGAACAGGCTAGATTGGAAACAGTGTGCAAAGGTGGGCGTTGTGAGGTGGTCGGCCTGAGTCTATGAAGAGTACGTGTTCACTGCGTTGGTCCTGATCCCACTCAGGTGTCTAAGGATGACCGCAGCGACGTGGAGAGCAGCTCGGAAGATGAAGAGGAGAGCACCCACACACACAGCCTCTCAGGCAGCAGCTCCAGCAATGGTGCCAACTGCGTGAATGGCCACATGGGAGGCAGCCACTGGGCTGAAGAGCATGGGACTTGTAAGGCCACTGGCAGCCCACTCTTCAGGGCCTCCCCACATCTACAGTCCTGAGACTAGAGGGACTACAAGGCACTGAGGGGAACCAAAGAAACAAAGGTTTCATGTTTTAAAGAAACTGCCGTTTTGTATTTAATGCCCCTGGTCCTTTCAGTAATGTTATTTGCTCTGTGTTTTTTGTTTGTGTGTTTGTGCATGTATATGCATTGTGCATATGGACAAGCTTCATCGACTGGGTTGGGGCACAGTTCTGGACTCTTAGGCCTTGCCCAGTCAATTCTGAACCCACCTCAGATCCAGCGTCAACTGCATCTTGAATTGCGCTGTCTGTCTCCAGACCACCTGTGTCCTTGGCCCATGGCTCTGGAGGCTCTAAGCTTCTGTCCCTCTGAATAAGGAGTGCCACCAGAGCTCCGCGCCTTGGGAACTGTTCTTTTGGAGCAGGAAGAGAGATTTCACCTGATGAAAGACTGGAGAGATACCCAGGGTTGCTGTAGCCCTTCCTACCACCTGATAATGACAGGGCCAACTACTGATGCCCTGTTTCTTAATCAATGGTACGAAGGGAGTGGGGTGGGAGAGGATGAGCTGAGACATGAGAACAGCAGCCACTAGTTGTGCTGTCAAGAGTTTTCTACTATTGTTTACTCTTCTGTGATTAAAGTGTTTCACCTCTCCCCTACTGACTCTCTTTAGTAACTCTCCCCGATGCCCTGGAGAAGTTTGGGGTGGTTTGGAGACAGGGTCTGCAAATCCTGCTGCCTGAGCCTCCTCAGTGCTGGGGCTCCAGATGTGCCATAATTAAGATTTTTTTCCCATGGGCTAGAGAGATGGCTCAGTGGTCAAGAGCACAGGCTGCTCTTGCAGAGGACCCAGGTTTGGTTTCCATATAAGGGCAGCTCAAAACTGCCAGTAACTACAGTTCTGAGGCTCTGATGATCTTTTCTGGCCCCATAAGCACCTAAAAGTGCACATACATACACTCAGGCGCATGTGCGCGCGTGCACGCACACGCAAAATAAAAATTAAAAACAAACCAATACTTCTAATTCAAAAGGCTTTTGAACATCCAATTTTTTCTTTTATGCATGGTAAGAGGAGTTCAACAGAATAGCTACAGCTTTGGACTATTATGTTTTAAGGAGAAGTAGACATATTTAATTGGTGTGCTGGCTTCTTTTATGTCAACTTGACACAAGTTATAATCATTTTGGAAGAGGGAACCTCAGTTGAGAAAATTTCCCAAATAGACTGGCCAGTGGGCAAGCCTATGGCGCATCTTCTTGATTGCTAGGGGAGGGCCCAGCCCATTGTGGGTGGTGCCTCCCCAAGTTTCTTCTGGTCTTGGTGTTTTGTCAGAGCAGTGGTGACCCTGACTAAGGCAGATGGTCACAGCAGTGCTGCTCAGCAGACACAACTGTGTACCAGAACCAAAGAACAGTTGGGGGAGAGGCTAAGACTCCTGAGGCACCTCCTGCCACCTTACCACAGAGCTCACCACTTCACATTTGAATAGATCATAAATGGGTTCTAATCCAGATTTTTCTCGTAACTGCAGCCCAGAATAATCTTGTGCTTAGTGATCTTTTATAGAGATGTTTTAGAGAGGCTTTGTGTACACGGAGGTGCTAGCATGGTGGTGACGGAGGCTGAAAGCTATGTGTGGTAACCTGAGCACTTGGAGGCTTAAACATGACTTTGAAGCCAGTTTGAGCTACACAGAGACTTTGTCATAATAAAAGGAAATGAAGCGGGGCTGGAGAGGCGCGCTAGTGGTTTCGAGAACGTGCCGCTCTTCCAGAGGACCCACCAGCACCACAGGTGGCTCACAGCATCTGCAGTTCTACTCCACAGGTATCTGACTCTGCGGCACATGTCCACATGTGATATGCCCAACAAAAAACAATGCTTGGCCTGTGATGCACACCCTTGACGTCAACCTGGACAGGGCAGGCAGGCCTCTGTGAGCCGAGGCCAGCCCAGGCTAAACAGTTGGACCCTAGCCTTTTTTTTTTTTCCTTTAATAGCAAGGAAAAGGAAATGGAAAGAAGTGTTTGGGCTGAGAAGATGGCTCAGTGTTAAAAGCACCTGCTGCCAATCCTCATTACATGAGTGTGATTTCTGGGACCCACATGGTAGAAGAGAGCCAACTCCTGCAAAGGCATCTGCAAGATGCCTTCAGACTTCCCTACACACAGAGAACATGTTTAGTGCAGTGACACTAAACCTTCGGAGCTACTGGGTCTGACTGACTGACTATGGGCAAATGAACTTCTCAGCAGTCATTCTGTCAGAACTAATCAAGAGGACTAAGGGGTGGTCTTGAGTTCCTCAGCTGGCCATGTTGTTGACTACCAATGTGAAATAAAAGTGACAGTGCCTAGGGCTGGAGAAATGGCTCAGAGGTTAAGAGCACTGCTTGTTCTTCCTGATGGTCCGGAGTTCAATTCCCAGCAACCACATGGCTCACAATCATCTACAATGAGATCTGGCGCCCTCTTCTGGCGTTCAGGTGTACATGTAGGCAAAGCAATAAAAATAAACCTTAAAAAATAGTGACAGTGCCTTTGAAAGTTGAGAAGATGTAAATTTTACCTTTAGGAAATTGGATAAATAAAGTCTGGGTTGACTGGCATGGAAGATGTAATCTCAGAAGCAGCAACCAAGTGGTCAGCAGCAGCTAATATATAGCTCTGACTACGTAATAACATGCTGAAGATGAAGTAGGATGTTTGGTGCTTTTATTGCTTAGAAAGGGATTTCTCTCATTCCCTGTAAGTGAACTTCAAAAGACTTCTGCAAGCCAGATGTGATGGCGCCCACCTTGAATCCCAGTGCTCAGGAGGCAGAGGCAGGCAGATCTGACTCTGGGGCCACGCCATCCAGGCTGCATAGTAAGGCTGTCTAGAGCCGATACATACCATAAGTATTTTTTAAGTGTATTTTTAATTTGGCCCGGGCATGTGTGTGAGGAGAGCAGGACTGAACTGGGTGCGCCTTTCAAGGGCTGTCCCCTTCATTCTTGCTTTCTGGCCACCTCAATGAGAGAATCTCTGCCCCACATCCCTCCTATGACAGCTCCAAACAGCACAGCCAAGTGAAATGGACTAAAACAGGAGCCCATTAGAATTGCCTTTGCTCCCTGGCTCCACCCCTTTCCCTTTCCCTGGCTTTTTAAAGCTGTTTACTTGTTTATTATTATGTACAAGTGAGTGAAGGCACTTGGGTGGAGGTCAGAGGACAACTTGTAGGAAGGAGTGTGCACCTTCCGCCCTGGTGTGAGGCCTTCCTGCTGAGCCACCTCAACAGATAACTTGGGGGTTTCCATTCTGCTCCATAGAGGATGCCTTAGACACTCGATGCTCGTGTTTATTTTGCTTTTTCATTACTGTATATTTGTATGTGTGCAGTCATGTGCCTGATGCACAGATATCCAAGGCCAATGTGCTAGAGCTGTTTCTCATCTCCCACTTCTACATGGACCCTGGGGATTGAGCTCGCCCACCAGGTGTGAGTAGCCAGCACCTTCACCTCCGTGCCATCTGGAGCTTGGTGGTGAACACTCAGTGTTGTGTGCAGCGCCATGCACGTGTTTCCCTGAGAAGTTCCAGGCAAACAATCTGAGGTGAGTTTCTTTTGTCTTTTTCATGTGTGGTGTTTTGCCTGCATGCATGTCTGTGTACAGATGTGTGCCTGGTGTCAGATCCCCTGGAACTGGAGCTGCAGACAGTTGAGGCTCCATGCGGGTGCAGAGCATCAAACCCAGGTCCTCTGGGAAAGCAGCCAGTGCTCTTACCTGCTGAGCCATCGCTCCAGCCCTGAAGCCACCTCAGTGCAGCTTCTAGTTAGTTTTTGGTTTCCCGAGACAGGGTTTCTCTGTGTAGCCCTGGCTGTCCTGAACCCCCTCTGTAGACCAGGCTGGTCTTAAATTTAGGAGATCGGCCTGCCTCTGCGTCCCGAGTGCTGGGATTAAAGGAGAGCACCACCCAACAGGCTCAGTGCAACTTAGCTGCAGATGAAGAAAACAAGCCAGACTACACAGGAAAACACACCTGTGGGTTCTCAAAATTCACATGTGGTAGGGGGAGGCTTTAGAATTCTCCAGCATCTGGTTCCACAGCCCAGACATTCAAACTTCTTTGCTGTTTTGTTTTAAATCTCCCTCTATCACCAGGACTATGGTTCTTTTGGGGTCTCTACTTTAACTGGGGGTTGAGGTCTCTAAATCAGCTTCCTCCTTATGAGCTTTTTTTTTGTTTGTTTTTTAAGATTTTATTATTTTTGGTTTTTCAAGACAGGGTTTCTGTGTGTAGCTCTGGCTGTCCTAGAATTTGCTCTAGAGACCAGGCTGGCCTCGAACTCAGAGATCTGCCTGCTCCTGCCTCTTGAGTGCTGGTGGCTTGATTTGTTTTTATTTTATTGTATGGGTGTTTTGCCTGTATTTGTGTCTGTGTACTTATGTGCATGATGGGAGACCAGAAGAGGGCATCAGGTTCCTTGAATTACGGTTGTTAGTTGCCATGTGGGTGAACCCAGCTTCTCTAGAAAAGCAACCATGTTCTTAACTGCCATCTCCAGCCCCACTGTGTATTGAATTCAAATCAAAGTCCTTAAGGTACTTTGCCTCATCCTCCCCCAGAAGCCATGTTAAGTCATATTGTCTGTCTCTTTCTTGGAAGCTCAGCTATTTCTGGATGCTTATCTCAGTATATTTCAGTCTGCATTAAGCCAGAACATGTATCTTTAACACTCCTACATTATTTCTAAGCATAACTTCGTTCCTTTTCTCCTCTACTTGAGTCTATTTCTGTTTCTTTATTTTAAACTTAATTTAGGGTGCTGGAGATGGCTCAGTGGCCATGTGCTAGGAACACAGGTCCTCTAGAAGAGCAGTCAGAGCTTTAAACTGCTGAGCCATCTCTTCAGCCCCTGATTTTTATTACATATATATATATAGATGTATATATATAAAATATATACATATATGTATATATATAAATATATACATATATGTATATATATATAAAATATATACATATATATGTGTGTGTATATTATATATTTTTTTTTATTTTTTCTTTTTGGTTTCTTGAGACAGGGTTTCTCTGTGTAGCCCTGGCTGTCCTGGACTCACTTTGTAGACCACGCTGGCCTCAAACTTAGAGATCCACCTGCCTCTGCCTCCCAAGTGCTGGGAAGATTTACACACACACACACACACACACACACTACAGGTATGCCACCTCGCCTGGCTTTATTTATTTTTTGAGACAGGGTTTCACTATGTGGCCCTGGCTAGCCTGAAACTCCCATTACAGACCACACTGGCCTCAAACTCAGAGCCGAGCTTTTGCATCCTACGTTTTGCTATTAGAGCTCCATTGTACCCAGTGAGTTTGTGATTTTTATTAGGGAATAAAAAGTTTGGGTCTCACTATATAGTCCTGTTGTAACCTGCTTAGACTCTGTAGCCCCTCCATTGAGACCTACTTAGCATAATGGTAGCTCCTGTTAACATCTGCTTTCACATGACAGAAACCATTTTGTTTTTAAATCTCCATTTTGATCACAGGGTAAAAATAACTTGAACAGTATTTTACTTACAATTCAATACTTGCTGAATGTTCTGCTTGAATTAACTGTGTGTGTGTGTGTGTGTGTGATGTGTTTTACTTAA